TATATATAAATAACAGAAAAAACAAACCCGTTGCCATCAAGTCAATTCCGACTCATAGTGATCCTGTAGGATAGAGTAGAACTGCCTCGCAGGATTTCTAAGGAGGAGCTGGTGGATTCAAATTGCCAACCTTTTGGTTAGCAGCCTGAGCGCTTGTCCACTGTGCCACCAGGAATACTTATATATACACCTGTAAAGTATATATACATATACACTTTGTGTATATATATACTTACAACTGGTGCTTCCTGCTGTTTTAAGTATATATTTGACTATAGCAATATATATATTAAAAAATGTAAACTTCAATTTAAAATATTGATATCTAAGTGGAACTACATTGTGATTTTTAAAGAACTTTTAAATTAACTTTAGGTAGCATAAAGATATTAAGACAAAAAGAATATTTCAGGTAAAATTAAATTAATATAAATATTTTAACTCCTATTTAGGATATGATAAAAAATGAATTTTACCATTTATCTTTGCAGCTATTGTTCCTGATATAGATGAAATAGCAGCTCAGGCAGAAACTATGTTTGCTGGAAGGTATAGTAACATTTATGTATCTTTATCTTACAGACGAATAAGATTTTACTTAGAATTTTATTGATACTTTGCTACTGTTCACCTCCCTATATCTGTTTATTTTCCCACCCTCTTTTGTTGTCAACATAATTTCTGCCAGAAATGAAGCTGCTAATTTACTGTAGAGGAGAAAGCGTAGCTTTTCTTTAGGTCACATGAAAAAAGGACAAGAGAGATGAAATCAGTGTATTGAACTTTTCCCTGAATTCTTTGCTTTTCTTTGCTCAAATAATGACAGCCTTTTAATTCCCCTGGTATAAATATCACTGCATCTTGCAAAACATTGCTTCCCTGCATCTTAGAAATTTGAGGCAAGAAAGTAACTTTTTAATGTTATCATTAACTTTGTATGTGAGAAATAAAGCTATTTTCTGCCCACTGGATGTATCCATTATTAAAGAAAAAAAAAAATGGCCTCTGTCATGAACACCCTCCTATGCTATCAGGAACTCTACCATTTATTTTCTTAAGTTTTTTTCTTTTCACAAATGAAACTAGTAGCAGTCAAAAAGAAAAAGTAAAAGAAGTCAATATCCAAAGTAAAGATCACTGAGTTTCTAGAATACGTTTTATTACAGATAATGACATAAGAACCTTAAAAAATGACCTCTACTATGTGTTTTGTTGCAGTGTTCTTTTTGGTAGACAGACAAACAAGAATTAAGAATTAAGGGAATCAAAAAGGAATTTTATCTCTAGTAAACATTTGGTTTAGCTTTGCTTTATATGTAGCTCCAGTTTTTTTAAAAAATTTTTTTATTGCTGTAAAAGTATAGATAACACAACATTTCCCAATTAAACATTTTTCACATACACAATTCAGTGAGATCAATTACATCAATCATGTTATACTACCATCATCAATATCCTTTGCCAAAATTTTCCTTTCCCATAAATAAAAACTCAGTGCTTACTAAACAATAGTTCCTCCTAACCCCCCTCCCTCCTGACCCTGGTAACCACTAGAAAACCCTCATCTTCATGTATTTGCATATTCTGTGCACTTCATGTTAGTAAGATCATACAATATTTGATGTGTTTTCCTATTCAAGAACTTCATTATTCCTAGGAAGAGAAAATGAACTAGTGTATGATTTTCACCTTAAAATAAGTAGACCTTTTTTTTTTGGAATCTTACTCAGAGTCCCAGTATACTAAACATATAGAACTTCTCTGGTGATGATTTGAGTGTGTGTGAGATGCACAGTCCTTTTCCCGCCCCTCCCAACCTATCATGTAGAGGCCACTAGGGCTCTAGGGAAAATCAATTGCCTCTTGGTGTTGTTAGTTGCCTTTGAGTTGACTCTGACTCATAGAGACCTTATGTACAGCAGAATGAAATGTTGCATGTTCCTGCATCATCCTCACAATTATTGGTATGTTCAAGTCCATGTTATAGCTATTTTGCCAATCCATCTCACTAAGGGTCTCCCTTGCCCTCACTGGCCTTCTGCTTCACCAAATATGATGTCCCCCTCTAGTAATTGATCTTTCCCAATGATGCGTCCAAACCAAGCAAGTTGGACAATGTTCTGTTGTGATCCGTAAGGTCTTCATTGGCTAATTTCTGGTAGTAGATTGCTAAACCTTTTTTCCTAGTCTATCTTAGTTTGGAAGCTTTGCTGAAACTTGTTCACCGTGGGTGACCTCACTGGATAATAAGTACTTTTGGATGGATTTGAACTCCTAGCTTGTATCTATGCCCAGGTCACCAACTCATTCCAGTTTTCCCAGGACTCTCCCAGTTTAAGCACTGAAAGTCCCCCATCCTGGAAATCCACCCACTCTCAGGCAAACTGAGCAGTTGGTCACCCATGCTTTCAAGGACAAACACAATTTTTTTGTGTGCTTGTTTCCTCATCAGTTAAAGGGAAAAAAGTAAAAATGTTTTCCTCTTTAACTTTCTAAATCAGGAAAAAAGTAATATAACTCTGAGAACCTATATGGAGTTTTAGTCATTTAAGAATAGATGTTATGTAAATAGAAGTTACTTTAGAATTATTTTTGGCTTTATAGAAAGGAAAAAAATCCAGTTCAACTTGATGATGAAGGTGGCAGGACGTTTTTACGGGTACTTATCCATCTGATCATGCTCGACTACCCTCCTTTGCTGTCAGGAGCCTTGCAGCTGCTGTTCAAGCACTTCAGCCAGAGAGCAGAAGTTTTACAAGCATTTAAACAGGTAAGATTGAGGAGCCCTCAATGGTTCCAAAGAAGCAGCTCTGAAAATGCTGTTTATAACATCCACCCTGACTTTATAGTTGCAGAGTTAATGAGAATGTGTGGCTTTTCCTAGGGAGATTTTGGCCTTGACTGATGCCAGAATATGATCTATTTTAGAAATAGTTCCCTACGAGTGATTGTTAGTTAATATCTTTAATACAAATGACAGGCATTAAGATTTAGGAAGACACTTGGGGATTATACCATATTAGGAATTTTGTTGCCACTGCTTTTATTTTGATGCTAATTTTTACTGAAAAATATGGGCAAGACAAGCAGTAGTCCCGAAATAAATGCTTTGTGATTGATAGATGCATAAATCCAAAAGAAGATAACTGTTACGAATGTCATATTTTTCTTTTTGATCTTTGAATTAGACGTCAATCTTTAGGCTATTAATTAGTAATACCTATGTGCTTACAGAAACCCTGGTGGCATAGTGGTTAAGAGCTATGTCTGGTAACCAAAAGGTCGGCAGTTAGAATCCGATAGGTGCTCCTTGGAAACTCTTTGAAGCAGTTCTACTCTGCCCTATAGGGTCGCTATGAGTCGGAATCGACTCAACGACAACAGGTTTTTATGTGCTTACATGTGTCTCACTAATATTTATTTCACTTAATGGAACATTGATCTTCATTAGGAAGTTTTACATGAGTATATTAAAGAATGTGAAATAATTAGGTTAGGCTAGTCATGGGAATATACATAACTGTATATATCGTAATATATATATAAATTATAATAAAATAAAATTTATATCATAGGTTAGATTGTATCTATC